TACAGTTAGAATAGTATTGCAAAATTCATCTGCAACTAAGTGAGAAAAATTTAATAAATGGCGAGAATTATGAATTTTTACCTAAAGAATAAGGATATTCTCTGAATATAGGTACTTTGAAGTGTTGATCGAGAGTGATTGGACGGATTTCAAGTCCGGGAAATAGTTTCTTGCAGTCCAATACGTCCGATCCAAATGAACCAAATATTCCGATCGATAAAATACCATGAGGTACAGAAACGAAAAGATAAGATTTTTTGGGATCTAGATCTACCGTTTTTACTAACTTTAACGGAAAATAATTGCAAAAATAACGCCAAAACACGTTGTTTCTTGCCATTCTTGTCAATATTTCACTGAAATGTAAGATATAGTCATTTTGAAAATATTGATAATTCATATTTCTAAAGCGTTTAATTATTGCGCCTATAATTATTCTCAATAAATATTATAAAAGATTTCTTTTTCATTACTGCACTCTGAACCGATGCAATAAATTGAAGTGAAACAAATATATATTTGTCTCACTTCAACTTATTGCACTGTGTGTACCAGTTCCAGAAAGTGCAGCTATAAAAAAACAGACCTAATAACTTTTTTACTTATTGGGTGTTTTCAGTAGGACGCAACAGTTTTGCAACTGTTTTATAATTGCCTGTTCTAAATTGAATGTTTCAACATATGCCAGATCACCATGATTTGCAGCAAAGTAAAAATACGCTGCCGGGTAAGAAATTGTTCATGCATGAATATGTATAAATATGTATAAACATACATAAATACGCATAAATATTCGGAAACATGTATAATTATATATGGAATACGTCCATACATGTTCAATAACAATCTTTTTTTCTTCTGTAAAATTACTTTTTAGTATAATAATAGTAATGTGAAAACATAAAAAAATAATTAAAAAGGTCACGACAGTTGTGCAACGTTTTGCTGAACGCACCCATTACTGTGTTAAACAATTGTCTTCAAATGATTGTCAAGATTTTTATTTATTACTAAATTCGATTACTAAAAATATAGAGATTAATAGTATCCTTACCTTCTACCACCATTATTACAAGTGTCCCAATCGTAATACATCCAGAGGAAATATAGTAATAAAAAATAGCGTATCGTTTCTGTATAGAGTATAAGATAAACCGTAATTACGTATCCCCAAAGATCCATGAAAGCGGTGGCAAAAACCCATATTGCAGCAACTAACGTTTGTAATCTTCTTTCCAGAGGTACGTTTAACGGTGCAAATTTCACGCCCAGAATTTCCATGTTCCTCGCTAAATCTTCGATCAAAATTTAAATCATCCGAGAAACCCGGTTTTTTGTTCAGTTACCTGTATGGGTAGCATGTATAAAATCCGGTTTTACTAATATAGAAGAAAAAGTAAAATAAAATGTAGAATTTTTAATAAAAAACTAATTGACCTTTAATCTCGGTTCAATTTACTTTTTAACTTTTTCTAGTTCTAAGAATTAAGAGAAATAAAAAAATCAATCTTGCATTAGTAGAACCTGAGCATAGATCAATTAGTTTTTTTTATTAGAAATTATAAGTAGCGTTTTATTTTTTCTGTAATAACCGGTCGCATCGCTTCGACTGACCGTGGATTTAATATGAATTGGCACTTTATCAAGCGGATGCACAAAGTCTATCTTTGATTTCAACAAGAAACGAACTTTGTATCTTTATCTATCCTATTTCCAATAGCTTGTTCAGTACAGAGTCGCAAAGTGATTGTTTATTTAATTTTTTACGCCAGAATCGTTTTCATTATTATCTTTTTCTCATTTCTATTATAATTATATATTTTTATTTTATGACATTATATTATATTATAAGAAAATTGAAAAAATGCTTCAGCATGAATCATAATTACATGTTTATTTGTATGTTTGTGTGCAGAGATAAATTGTGGTCGCAAATTATTGATCTCTTTTTTTTCCCCGAGCTTTAAGTAAAAGTACTTCTTCTTATTCTTTTACTCATAAAAAATACTAAAAATAGTATAACCAATTTTTCGCGATACGTAAAACCAGCTATTCTTTGTCGCTACGCTGAACCGTGCTTTCTATCTCGCTTTCGCCAAATTTCAAACATATATCTGTTTCATTTTAAGTACAATGAGTGCATACTAATCATAAAGAACAGACTTAAAAGCAAATACTCCATGATACTTTACTGTTTAATAGAATTTATTATAATAATTATTCATTTCACACACACATATAATTTCACAAACTTATGATGCCGCGTTATACTGAGTCGAAATTTTGAAGAGAGAAGAACGAACTGCCGTATCATTATCAAACTCTTGTATTATCAATTGCCTTAGATAGACCGAAGTGATTTCGAAGTTATCTAAAAGATATACATTCATATTTGAAGATAAAGTCCAGCTAGCAAGTAGACACATGAAGATATAACTGTGAAAATATCAGTTTACTAAAAATATTCGCATTAAGTATTCGCATTATCTGTATTTTTCATAAACATAATAATAAGAATAGACTACGCTTTTCCATGAAGTTGTTATTATTGGTTTATAAAGAGTAAAGTAGAGTAGACGACCTTGAATCGTGTCGTTTTCTCTCTCTCTTTCTCTTGAAAAGAGATACTGATAGAGTTGAAGAGAAATGTAGCTATGATTCAATATTTCTTAAAGCATAGTTCCGAGAGCTAAGCAAGAAATGCCAATCTATACCTGATCTAGACCTTACTTTTGTAGTATTTTTATTCGTATTTGATCTCTTTTCTTATTCATTTGTATTTTTTTAGATTGTAATAAATTTAACCAAATAGATGGTTTCTAACTTAAATAAATCTAACGAAATTAACAAATAAATTTTATTACTATTACAAAATGTTTATAAAAATGTTTACATTTAAATTTTTATATAAAATTTTCAAATATTGTGAAAGAAATTTAATTCATAATGCAACTTCTGTTGCAAGCGTATGTGCTACAATTCGAATGATTTTACTCCAAACAGTTCGATCACACGTTAAGATTTACGCTTTTCAAATTTACCTAGATTGCTGCGGCTATCTCGGCAACGTACAGATAGAAACTTATGGATTGCACTTTTTCTTTTAGCATAACACTAGGTATATTGTCGTTTTCTACAGATGAGATAGTACGTTTCAACACAATACGACAGCCACGTGTATGTACCGTATGTAAATATATTTATGCCTGCGAAACTTTCACACGGAACGTTTGGCACGGCGTCATGTGTCTTACTAGTTGGAATGTCGATAGTAAAAGAAAAGCATGTCCGACGGGGTACACAAGTGGTTGCTCGTTCACATATGGACAGACAGATGGACTGTCGTCCATGTTCTAAGTCAAATCGTTCAGTCAAGACCCGATGTTGAGACTTATTCATTTTAGTGTAAATCGCAGAGTTTATCTTTAATTACTTAACAGTTGAATTGTGTGATTTTTTAGATTATACATTATTAACTCAATATTTTGTCACGTAAATTTATACATAAAAGAGAGAATTGATGAGCCTCTACTATTTGAATCATTCGATTATCGAAACTGTCTTGTCATTCAATTTGAATAATGGAGTTCTATTGTATTTAAAAAATACATATATTTAAGTTTGAATTTGAATTAAAATAAAAATTTCTTATTCAGATTTTTCTAGCACTAACATTATAGTTCAATAAATATCATAGGCACTTTCATTTAATGATACAAGTCGATACAAGTCGACATCGTTATATCCTTCTTAACATTCAGAGAGTAACAAAAATAGAACGACACTTGTGTCAACTTGTGAAATCAAATGGAATAATAATTATACGTAAATAATTTGTTTACATTTTTTCAAACTTGATTTTTTTTCTTAAACAAACAGTGCAAAAATTATCTTTTTAATTATATTTAATGTTTTCACATTATTGTTATTATTTCTATTACACTAAAAAGTAAATTTACAAAAGAAAAAAGGATATATAAACATATATGGACATACTTTGTATATAATTATACATGTTTATGAATATTTATGCGTGCGCGTGTTGTGTGCGCGCGCGCGCGCGCGTGTGTGTGTGTGTATTTGAAATGTTGAAGGTATTTTGAAATGTTGATCAAGAGTGACTACACGTATTTCTAATCCAGGAAACGTTTCCTTGCATTTTAATATCCATCCGTTGCGAATGAACTAAATATCCCCACCGAGAACATACCATGAGGCACGCCAATAAAAAAATAAGATTCTTTGGGATCTAGACATACCGTTTTTACTAATTTTAATGGAAAATAATTGCAAAAATAACGCCAAAACGCATTATTTTTCGTCCATCTTGTCCAAAATTCACTGAAAAATAAAAGATATTTTTTTTAAACAGTAATGATTATTATCTCTTAAAGAGTTTTTATAATGATTAAAATTATTTTCTAATATAAGATTTAATGAATATTTCTGTACAATACAGAAGCTTGTTTTAAACATTCATACAATGTTATCGCAAGATTGCAATGTTACTGCAATAGAATGATTTATATGTATTATAACAGACTTTTTATTCATTTATTGTGTTGCTTGGAGTAGGTAATTAGCTACATTTAGTAACCAAAAACTGATCATAAGCGCTCAGTGATGTTTTAATATGATTAATTCTTGCCTATAGTTCTTTGCTGAATCTAAGTGTAAGAATTGTCTTCAAGCGATTATCAAAATTTTTATTTATCTACAATGATTACTTTAATAAAAATTAATAAAATTGCTATACCTTCTACCGCCACGATAGCAAGTGTTCCAATCATAATACATCCAAAGGAAATACAATGACATGACGTAGCGTATCATTTCTGTGTAGAGTAGGAGATAGATCGTAATTAAATATGATCCAAAAGTACCGAAAATGAAGATAGTTATCTATATCGACAGCTAACGTTTGCAGCCTTTTTTCTAGAGCCTTTCTTACATTTAACGGTGCAAATTTTATGCCTAAAATTTCCATGTTCCTCGCTAAATTTTCGTGCAAAATCCAAATTTTATCACAGAGAATCCAATTTTTTTCATTTAACTTGTATGTTATATTTTATCTGTAAGGATAAATTTTTGTATAACTATAAATCATATCATTTTCTAAAATAAATCATATGCTGATTTGGTTGAATTAATCGTAAGTTAAAATATTTTATCAAATAATTCTATTCCTTATCCCCTCGCAAAAAAAACCTTGTAAAATGGAGACCGAGAAAAAAGTGATATTTTGAATATTTAAGATTTTATAATATTTAAAATATCTACGTTAAAAAAATCTTTAAACATAGAAATTATTTGACTACAAAATTTTCTTGTGTTAAAGAACCCCGCACTAATCCTATATAAAATTGGGTCATAGTGAAATCAAATGGTTTTCTCATATATTATAGCTAGACCTGCTAAACAAAACATAAATCGTAGCGCAAAAAAATGAAGTTTTCATGTTCGATTCACCTACAGTCGCTGACATCTCACCATATAATACTCAATAACTTCTAAACGGATCTAAAATGAATAAAATTATAGTGTTTTGAAAAGGTTTCAATAAGGATTATAAGAAAATGAAAGAAAAAGTGGGAGGTTTTGCTTAAAAAATTCGAGTTGACTTTCCCCTACCTTGGCGCCATTCAAAGCCAAACTAATGAAACCAGTGGCATTTTACAACTTTTATTTAAAACATTTTTTTATAAAACTTATAGTTTTCCAGATATTTTGCCGTCTCGAAACATTTTATGTTCCTTATATGATTATAGATAGTGCCACATATAATTACATATTATCATATACAATATTCAAAATATGTACACATTTTAAAACGATACTTTGTTACGGAATATATAGTGTAATTCCATACTCTTATGTTCGTTTCCGCCAATGTAGATTAACTTTAATCTCGGTTCAACTTACTCTTCGTCTTTTTCTAGTTTTAAAGATTAGAAAAAGACGAAGAGTAAATTGAACCGAGATTAAAATTAATCTACATTTGTGAAAATGGGCATTAGCGTAATCCAGGACCAACGACATGGACGTGACACGGATCTGGTTCCGTGTGTGTGTGCGCGCGCATCCTTTGTAATTGGAAAAAAAAATTTTATAATTTGTTGTGTGTGTGTGTGTGTAAATTTTTTAAGAGTATCCGGATAAAATTTAATTAAAAAATATGCAAATTATTAACATAGATCATTGCTAAAACTAAATATTAAGTTATTATACTTTCCCTGTAGTATAAGAAAAATAAATTGAAACTTAACTTGAGGAATAAAGATAATAATTTCTGTACTTCTACATATGTCCATTCCGTAACATGGCAGGAAACTAAATAAACAAATATCGAATCATATAGCAGATCTCGCGGCCTAATTTATACATACGTATACTTATATAATTTCAAAAATATTTATAATGTTATGCAAATGTATTCTGTTACTTTTGTCTCTAATCTACCTTATCCTCGTTAATACGTATTCCTCACAGTCGTAATTTACTCAATTTATCATCTATGAATACTTTCACATAATCATATTTATATGATTCATATTTTATGTAACGGATGTGCCTATGACAGCGAAACTGCTATTTAATTATTGTGTTCAATGAATAGATACATTCAATATTCAAATAAATGAGTTCAAATAATGAATATGAATACGAATTTAAATATGATATTTTTGTATGAATTAAATAAATATCTTTTATTTAACTTAAATGAATATGATAACAAATATTTTCAATTTTGCATTCACTTCAATTCTGTCACTATAACCATATTATTTAATATATTATATTCCGAATAGCAAATTTGACTGGACACACTCAACGCGCACTAACGCATATTAAAGCCGTCGTGCACAAATTGGCATAAAGATGTGTTTAAATATAAATATAAAAACGAATTAAACCTTTAATACACTTTATTTTGCTGTTAAGAAAAAAATATATTTTATAAATTGAAATATATATTTGCCCCTTTCACGAATACATTTAAATTAAATCAGTATTCAATAGCTCTATATATATATATATATATATA